ACTTACCCTCTTTTGCTCAAGCCTGGGGAAAAAGAATGGGGAATTAAGTGAGCCCACACAGTTAACTTCCATACAGGGCTAGAGGCTTCATACAGGTTGGTGGCTCTCAGGTTTTGTAGAGCTTAGTTAGGGAAAACAGTCAACAGAACGTGGGACCTGAGAGCCCTGGATTCAGTTTAGAGAACCGAAGGCGTCACCGGCGCTCAGCCCCAGTTCCACACATCTGCACAACAGGAGTAAGGATTCCCTGTCACATGATCTTATTAAGACGGTAAAAGAAGGATCAAAGTGCCATAGCATAACAAAACTTAATGGCTGCCTCACACTTTAACCTTAGGAGCCAGGAACTGAAGGGCAAAGAGATGGCTGACTACGCTTGCCCCCCCCCCGCCTCCCCCATAGGAGTAGTCAAAAGACAGCCTGTCCGATCTGTTCCCTCATCCCCTCAGAACGGGGTTCCCTGGTTCTTCCAAGGAACAACCAAGTCGTGAGTGCGACAGGCCAGCAGAAAGGCCATGGAAGTCTGGATGCAGTGTGCGGATCACATGGGTCAGACCAATCGTGACGTAACCTGCATTCAAAACAGCACTCCGCTTATGCAATAATGTTGCTTCACACTCACATGGCTGTTTTGCACAACTGGCCCGTGGCATCCATGCAGATGACAGGATATCATTTACACAAGGACTGACTGGAGAAGACGGCGGAATTAGCACAGGGCAGGATCACACGGGGCACTCAGCTGGTGGCAAACTAATCCTGGGGGAGAATTAATTGAAACCTGGCATAAAGCATATTTGGACAAGCTTTTAAAGGTATCTGGAACCAGGCTGTGGCCAAAAAGGGATTTCTGGACCCAGCTTTGAAGGATAAACATGAACTAACCATTCTATTACATATTGCAAAGCAGGCTGTTGCTAGTGGTGTCAAGACACCAGTCAACCTAACCGACACAGTCCTCTACAGCAACAGAAGGGCGAAAGGCAGCTACTCTGGGGCAAACAAAACAGAAGAACTACAGATAACAGGAATACTTTGAAGATTAAAGGAGCTATGTAAATTTTGTCCACCACCTGCCTCAGGCAACAAGGGATCTTGGCAAAGGGGGGGGGGCGCACTGGATGGAGGGGAGGGTCTTCTTCAAGGCAGGAAGAGGATGGTTGCTGAAGCACGTAGCACTTACAATGGAGTTCTAAACATTTCAAATAGCCTCTTCCAAAGCCAATCTATGCAGAAGTCTTCCTGGCCACCACAAAGACTTTGCAAAGTGTAAATTCAGCCTTTAGTAATCCTTACAAACAGTCCTATAAGGCAGGTCAGTATTAAAGACAGGATATTAAGGCAGAGAGAGAGAGAGAGAGAGAGAACACACGCACCTATGGTCATTGTGTAAATTCATGACACAGCAAAATCTGAAGTGAGATTTCCTGTGTCAAAATTCATACTCAGCCATTACACTACTTTACAACCAGTTGTATAGAGAGTTAGATAGAGGCACCTGCAGGGAGCAAGAATACTCTTAAGGAGACCACCCAGGGAAACTTTATGGAAGATAATTCCCTCTGAACTATCTTCATTTCTGGTCTACTGAGATTCTTTTTCAGGCTACTAACTTTTGTGGGCTTCTTTTTCAAGAATGGGGAAACACCTGGACAGTCACAACATGCGCCATGGAAGCGCTTGCCTTGGGGATATTCTCCTAGTACGCAACTAAACCCAGCAATAACGTGCCTAATAAGACCCAGCTAATAAGATTGAGAGTTCAAAGCACTTTGTTATATCAATCAAGTGAGCCAATATTCTTATGTTCATATTGTAGGTGGGGGATGAGAGAAAAAGTTTGGCCTAAGGCAACTTAGTGAGTTCATGACAGCAATAAGAGCTGAATCAAAAGACGAACAAAATTTATCCCTTAAGCCTTTTTTTAGTTAGTTTTTAAGGCGCCCCCTTAAAAGACCCCTTAGTAATTTTGCTGCTATAAACCAACACAACTGCCCATGTGGAAGTATCCTAACAAATCTGAACCAGGGACTTCATGCCTCCACTGCAATCGGTCTCTCCCATGTGCCACACAACAGGCTGCCAAGCAGCTGCCCACTTGAATCTACCCTTCAACATGCTCATCCTTCTTAGATCTCCATGAATTTTCATCAAAGAGGAAGACAGGAAGGTCTGGAGCTCCCCTGGAGGAGCACCGGCTGTTTCAACCATCATCACCAGGTTTGAATGATGCACTTCTCCAAACGGTCCAAAAAAAAATAAATCTGGGAAGCCACACAAAGAGTTCTTGTGCAAAGCCATGGCTCCTTCCCAACGGCCAAGAGCTCTGGTGCCCAGCAGCAGGTGAGCTGGTCTTCCTTTCAGCTCATTTTCAAAGTACCGGTATTTCATTGGTGCAGCAGACATTAAGGAATGCAACTCAATGGAAAACAGCAGACTCTCCCAGATCTGAAGTCTCAAACTGGCCAAGTTTTAGTGGACTTGTTAGTGCAGAGACTTCCAAGGAACATAAAGTTAATCCACAAGATTAACAGGAAAGAATGAGCTGCTTTCCTACAGACTTGAGGGCAAATGCAGCCATGCTCCTAAAAAGGTCAGGAGGCAGTAAGAGACAGATCTACAATGTGTAAGATCCTGAAATTAGGGCCTGAAGCCTATTTCTCCATCACTACTTGCTCATGGCCCGGCAGCAGGCTTTTGTCGTTCTTCCACCAAGAGCTCTTCACAACAGTCAGATGCACACAACCATAAGTCTGTTCTAGAAGTCACTGACCAGCATCATAAAAGGCAACTAACTTACCAAAATCATGGTCAGGATTCTAGATATTTGCCACACAGAGGTACACAGCCCAATTTTCACTGAACTTGGTGCTCTGAAAGTCTCTCCTGTGCTGGAAAAAGCAGAGCTTCTGTTCCTCCTGAAGAAAAGTTTAAAAGCATCTCCCTGTTCTTCTCTACTCTCTGTTCCTCCAAATGTTTTGCAGAAATAATTCCGAAGACATTTTCAAACATATTGTTTATTTATGGAAAAAGCAGAGCTTCTGTTCCTCCTGAAGAAAAGTTTAAGAGCATCTCCCTGTTCTTCTCTACTCTCTGTTCCTCCAAATGTTTTGCAGAAATAATTCCGAAGACATTTTCAAACATATTGTTTATTTCCACTTTTATGGCACAAATCTGTGAACTCAGCACTGTACACTGTAGCTCAAGCAGAGACAACAGGCCCCTGTCTCTGCAACCTTAATTCTGACACCAAAGAGACAAGAAAAAGAGGGGATAGTACAAAACTTGATTCATGGATGTAGAATTACGCAGGGTGAGGCCTATATAGGAAATTCTGTTTGTGTAAATCAGTGGGGTTTTAAAAAAAACCCCTGATGCATGCACAGAATAGAGAGAGGCCTCTACACATGCAGGGACTTCTGATACACATAACCAAGGCTTCCACTCAACATGAAGAACAGTCTCTCATTTAGCTCTAAACATACTAGTGTCTTCATCTAGAGAGGATGTAAACAGAAACGATATATAGGCACAGAGGTTGCAGCAGCAAAATTCCACACAAAATTCCAGAAGAAATGTTTGCAATGCCCCCTGGAAGACACAGACATTCATACAAAGCAAGGGCCTGATTCCAACTGTAGTTTACAAATGGGAAGCCATCTGGAAACAGCAAGGATGTACAGGAGTAATATACTCCCAGCTTGTCTGCTAAACCAAACTGAG